CGTTGTTTAACAACAGCCAAATAGACAAGTAGGTTTCAGGAATATTTGGACAATGTCTGTAGGCTTGTTGCCCAGATAATATATTGCTGGAGGTGATCTTTGTGTGGATAAACAGCTGCGTGCAGAGGCAGGTGCACTTTCATGTAGTACATCCCCTCTAAACCAACCAAGCATAAAGATCTGGTGAAGCTGTGATGCCAAAATTCCTTTGGAATGGATGATTAGGAGTAATGAGTTTTGGTGTCTTTTAGAATTCTGAAAAAAGTCACATTTCTGGCAAAATCAGTCAGTATTCTGAAAAAAGAATTCAGCTTTTGAGAACAATTTGAAATTATCAGAAGAAAGTCTGTATTTTGATTTTAAAAAAGTCAGAATTTGGGTGCAGAGGGGGTTTCAGAATTCTGAGAAAAAAGTCCAAATTATGATTCCCCCCTCCCCCCAGAATTAAAAAAAGCCATGACCTCACGTATTTTTTTTTTCCAGTGGCCCTAATCAACTTCCATGAATTTTGCCTAGAAAATACTGAAAATTGTCACTAATTATAGTATAACATGTTAGAGTATCTGCACATAAAGGATGATAAACACAAAAAGAGCCATAAAAAAGTTCTCCTGTATAAAATGTAACAGTGTGATAAATCACACCAATGGATCATTTAGTTGTTAAAATAAATTTGGTCACTTGAGTGCTCTGCTAGAAAAAAAAAAAATTTTCCAAGTGCCATTACAGACCTTGATGTGGCGGTACAGCTGGTTTGGAAAGGTCTCTTTCTCCACATATTTCTCTTTGCAGGCAGATGTATCAATGGTCATATCAGGGGAGAGGTGATCTGTATACTGCTGTAGTTTCATAGACTGCAAGACGGTGAAAAAGAGTCAGCAGAAAAAATAAAACAGTGAAAATCTCAATAAAATCAAGAATACTAAGAACTACCAGATTATTTTTTTTATTTTCATGCTGTGTACAATAATGTAATGCAACTTCTGGCAGCAAGAACACAAGTTTCCCACTTTGAAATATTGTCCAAGTCCAGTTTCTTTCTTGTTTTTTCCCTTATTTTTAACATGACTGTTATTAGCCTCCTGGATTAGACAAGTTATAACTTAAAGTGAATGGAGGCTATTCAGAACTTTGCTGTAGCTGGCAGCACTTGTGTAACAGCTCACTAACAAAAATAGCATCTTGCACAGGAGGATGTACAGTACAGTATGTCTCTGAGAATGTAGAAACTCAGTCTTGAGAAACTCACTATGTTGCCACGTCAATCACTCAAATTAAAGAATATAACTGAGCTTGTTAACATGTCAGGGATGAAATTGCTAAAGAAAATGTAAAAGAAAAAAATGTTAAATATAAATACAAATGAGGGTCTTGCTCTTGTTTTATGACTGGTGTACTGTTTTTTTGTTGTTGTTTTTGTAGCTTACCTGCATCCTTTAAACTTTAAATCTCTCAAAAAATGGTTTCAAATTTACATTACTTTTTGACTAAATGTGCAGAATTTGGAGGTATAAAAACGTTAATACATTTTTCAGTATTTCACACGGAAAGAACTCTGTTAAAGGTCCTGATCAGAAGACACAAAAGTGTGTGTGAGATCTATTTCACCTGGAAAGCAAACAGCCCAGTGACTGTTATGTTTTACTGGGATTGTGAAATGAAATTCTGTGTCCAAGTAAGACACTCAGAAAGTTGGAAGGACTGCAGAAAAGTGTTTGTTGCCCTCAGGAAACCCTAATTAAAGTGGTGCTGTTGTATAAAAAAATACATAAAACTGAGATATTTGTTTGGTATCTTTGACAAACTATCGCACAGTGTTGTCTCCATCGATTAAGAAGTATTACTTGCCCTGTAATTAGAGCGGGTTTTTCAGAAGGATATCGATCAGTGCACTTACACCAACTTGTTCCAGGAGTCCTATGAGGCGGGAGGGGGGCACCACACTGACCTCCCTCACCAGAGCCTCAGCTATGGCTCTGCGCCGCTTCTCCTTGCTGCTTCCTTTTGGGTACGCCTGCAGTGGGATTGAAAGGATGTTAGCTATACCTATGAAGCGCTCTCTGACGCAGCTGTCCGAGCACTTTGCTTTCTTACCTCACGAGGGTCAAAGTAGGAACAGGTTAGCAGGTTCTCCAGGTGGCCGTACCTTTCTGGCTGGGTCTGCTTCAGCATGATCATCGGGTCGGTTTGCCTGAGGAGCGAGCGAGCTGCGCCCACCTCCCTCATTTCAATGAGCTCCATAACAACCTGTTGAAGAGAACGTGATCAATTACAAATAAACAAATGAAGCCAAGGAAAGCATTAGCTGAACATCCAAAGACTTACCTGCTCATAAAGGTCAATAAGTATGTTGTCAGGCAACTTGAGAGATTCAATAGCCAGCAGGACAGAGTCCCAGTGACCCTTGTTTATATCTGCAATAAAGCTTTCGATGCTTTCCACTGTGTTGAGGGAGACGGTGGTTTCCTCCTGTAATGTGGTCAGCGTCCGGTAGAGGTTGTTCTCTTTGAGGTACTGCATTATCAGACGGATCACACTACGGAGACAAAGGGGAAATGTTCAACAATATCTGATTTGGGATGGTGCCACACGTGGGCACAGCCTTAAAAGGAAAAGGTCGCAGCACAAAAGGCCTGTCTCATGTGGACTTTTGTTCCACTTTAGAGCCACCTGCTGGGCATAAAGCTGTCCTATCCACAATCAGAATCAGGATATTTGATCAATCCCAGAGGAAACTATGTGGTCACAGTTGCTCCAAGACAGTAAGAACAATAACTAAGTAAACTAAATTAATTAATACAATATACAACAAAGCTACAAAACAAATATACTAACTACAAATAACTCTAATTATAAATATGCCAGTATATTACAAATTTAAATTTATACAATTGACAGTCAAGGTGCCCCTTTTATCTTCCTCTCTGCTGGACGTTCATTTTTATGGTTTCACGTGCACCAGTGGCACCTGCAGATTAAACGAACCTCACCCACTGATTCTACGAGCCAGTGCTTTTGTACTAAATTAAAACACAAAAATTTGACATTCCTGCAGTTGTCTATTCCTGCACTCCCCACAGGAATGACTAACCACCACCACCAACAACAACAACAACAACAAAAAGCACACCCACGCCTTTACCAGGGGGGCGGAGATCGTCTTAGATCAACAGGCACATGTGGAGGAAGGAGCCCCTGGCTGCAAAACAGTCCGAACCCCCCTCACACACACACACGCACACAGCACGACTACAACCATTTGAGCAGCCTCACGTGTCAAATTAACCATACTGGTCGCATTAAACTGGGTATCAATAACACAGGAGGTTTCACAGCAGACAGGACAGCAAAAACAGCGCAGTTTCGAACACAAACTGTAAAGGCTCCGTTTACGCGGCTTATTTTAAAAGGGGAATATGCAACGATCCCACACACCGACGCAAAGATATGTCACCTAATAAGCGATGGAGCGCATGACAGCAGATAAACCTTATTATTTTCTCTTAAAGTCAAACAGGTGGCAGAGTCCGATCACTTTTTTGTGCACACAAACAAAGGCAAACAGAGAGCGCACTTACTCCGCGGGCTCCATCTCCACAGCCATACTGATGCTGATGTTGTCTCTCTGCTGCTGCAGCACCGGACTGACTGTTGTGACGGCTCAGCTCTCCTCTATAAGCCACGTGAAAGCTGTGTGCTGAGGACCACCCACTCCACGTGCTTCTCCTGTGTCTCCCAGTATTTTATTTTATTATTATTTATTTATTTTTGCGTTAGCGTAGTTACCATTCCCAAACCCTGTGATACCCCCCCCCCCCCCAAAAAAAATAAAAAAAAAAAAAAAAAACACACTCCCTCCCTAGGAGTTGGGGGGACTGAAAAAAAAACGGTTTCGGAGCACGTCGCGTGCAGGAGACGCGTCTGCCGCAGCCACAGCAGCAGCAGCGCTACAGACAGAACCTCGTGGCTCAGAGCGTGCTCCTCTGTGGGGGCCAAAACATCACTCTTCATCACTCGGAAACTGCCTTTTTGTCCTCAACTCATCGGTATGCGCGCACAGACCTGAGTGCGCATACGAGCATCTTTACAGTACCAGTCCCCGTAGAGCACACGCGGTGATTAACTTGCCTTCCCTATAATTAGGCGCTACGGTTATAAAGCTTTTCCCTGGCAGTGGGTGTAAATCAGCCGCGACATTTGCTTTGTTTAAACGTTTAGTTTTTTACAGCCTGCTTTTCGGCATATAGGCACACATTGCACAGATCTGCGAAACAAATTCGTCGGAAAGCCTCGTTAATCCATAATTGGGTGTTTACCCTCATTAATTCAGCGGCGCATTGGGAAAACTAATAACCTCCCAGAGCTCGATTATCAAACAAGCAATCTGTGGCAGCTCACAAGTAAAGAAAAATACCTAATTCTTCTCACATTTACGTTATATTGTAAGTATTTAGGCCTTTATTTCACTCTCTTATTTTGACAGCAGGCCTGAGGTGATTAAAGCAATAAATGAATCCCATAATATGATTGTTGGCTAATATTTAGAGTTAGGTATGAACATGCGGCTACTGCTGACTCCTGTTGTCTGCCCCATGTGATATTCTTCTTCTTCCTGTTTAATTGGTTGACGTTTTTGCTGACACATAGCTGTGATGGCCGAGTGGTTAAGGCGTTGGACTCGAAATCCAATGGGGCTTCCCCGCGCAGGTTCAAATCCTGCTCACAGCGTTCGGGTCCTCCACCGGACAGGTGAAGTATTGTAAAGTCAACCTTTAATGTCGGAGATCAATGAAAAAAAAGCGGCATTAAAAAAAGCGTCTGTATTATTATTATCTGTATTCTCTGTAGCAACATTAATTAAAAGTCCTGCGGGTGATTCTCACAATTGTGGAGCTTACGCCAGTATGGCTATCGTGAGCAGACGTTTAATTTGTGACCTTATTCTTGCTATGAAATCACGCGAGATTACAAGGAGAATTAAGAACAGGTGGGCCACTAATTGACTCCCCCACGCTATTTGAGCGGAGGTTTTCGCCCTGGTTGCTTTATTTCATTTTAGCCTTTACACTGAATATGTGAAGTTTCCGAAAAAGATTTACATTTTAAATTGTTTTTGTTCTTGTTTTCTCAAAGTGTACAAAAGATGACTGTAAACACCAACCAGGTGAGTACAATCAAACACCCTAAGTCCCTTAGTCCTATACTTTTACCGAAATGTTTTTTTATGCTCATTTGGCATTTAAACGCGAAAGAAATGAAAACACTTCTTTCACCATGGCTTTCACACCAACTTGGCTTTCCAACGCTCTTCTGTCTCTTTTGCAGAAAGCACCCAGTGCAGCTGCCAGGCTGGCAAATCTGCCCGTCGTTCGTTCGGCTTGTGCCAGACTATCGGTCTTGTACACGGGCACAAAATCCAGGCATCCCGGCCTGAAGTCTGCGTGTGAAGTGCTGGAGAGCAGCGTGACAGCTGTAGGCAGAGCAGCCTGTTACAGAGCGTCACCTGTCATTGTTAAACTGGAGCCCCAGAGTAAGTAGCTACTGTTAGGACTCTTCCATAAAGATGTAGGAAATGACATTAGAGCATCTGGTTTTCTCCATCTTTCAACTACCTTAATCTGTACAGAAAATGGTGTAAACACCCAGATCCTTCTGCAATGCAAAGGGTTTTTGTGAACATTTTAAAAAACGGTTTTATTCGGATTTTCTCGCACAACGAGCTGTCTAAAGTCGGGATTGGAGTTGGAGAAATTTTAACCAGCACTCACTGCCACTTTATTAAGTACTGCTGTGGCCCAGCTGCTTCAAGGTCCAAGGTAGTGTATTTCAGATGATCGTTTGCATATTTTGATTGTAACAAGCAGTTATTTGTGTTACTGTCCTCTTCCTGTGGCATTAACAAGGCATTTTCATCCAGAGTTGTTTCTTTTTTCTATTCACTATTGTGTGGGGGGAAATCCCAGTAGTTCAGCAGTTTCTGAAATACTCAGACCAGCCCGCCAGGCACTACCATCATGCCATGTTCAAAGTAATTTCAATCATCTCTTGTGCTGGGTTTGAACTTCAGCAGATCGTACTGACATCCCTACATGCTTGAATTTGTTTTGCTGCCATGTTGGGCAGTAAAACAAATCAATCAATAAAGATTGATTGATTAGGTATGTTTACAAGCAGTTGAACAAGTTAACCTGACAGATTGCAGCATCAGGATACAATGCATTACATTAGAGATGAGACTGAAATGACATTTTTCACTGACCATCAGGTCAAAGTTGCTTTCTGGATAAACACCAACACTGTTCATGGGTATGTTTCAGTTTCCTATGCAAATGATGTTGCCTGCAAGAGTCTCGACTGGCTGGAGGCTTCATTCTCTGTAATTGTGTCATCCACAGAACAGGTAACGTTTCCTTTCCTCGTTTAAGTCCTTATAACTCACAACAGGTCTATAAAGTCTGGAATAATAAATAAAATATTTTATGTTGTGATTTAATTTTCTTTGCTCAGATTGTTATCCCTGCCAAAACCAAAATGAATGAGATTCAGGCTGGGATGAGCATTGCAGCCAATCAAACCATTGACTGGGTGATGAGGAGGATGAATGATGGCATTAACCGATCACCTCTGAAGACGGTCGTTGGTGTGACAACTGTGGGACTGGACACAGCTCTGAGCTTGTCAGAGGCTCTGGTGGACCAAATGCTTCCCCCAACACAAGAAGGTAACCTAAAATTCATTTATTAGCTTTCTATGTGATTTTTGCCATTTGGTTCAATTTAGATGCCTTTCTTTTCTTTGTATCTCTAGAAGAAGCTCGCTTGATGCAAGGTTTTGAAGTGGTCATGCTCAGGGGCCATTACCCTGAGCGACTGTGCTCACTCACTGCTAAAATGTGTAGAAGGCTTTACCATGAAGCTGGGTCCAAGATTCAAGCTGTTCAGGTGTGCTGTGAGCTGTTCTTGATGTGTTTAGCACAGAAAATGCATATAAAACATTAACCTAAGTATCTGTACCTCCCACTCTGCATGTAAGTTTTTACTTCCCAATGTCTCCAAAGTGCTTGCTCGTAGGGGGTTGTCTAATTGTTAGGGTTTTCTCTCTATTATTGTAGGGCCTCTACCTTACAATATAAAGTGCCTTGAGGCGACTGTTATTGTGATGTGGCTCTGTACAAATAAAATCTAATTGAACTTGTTGAAATTTGTTTCTTACTCAGGAGGTAATGAGGAGTTCACCTGGGCCTTCAGCTCTGGTTCAGAACTTGCAGACCAGCTGGCTGAGTGTCCAACGGCTGCCTCAGTACCTGCAGAATCAGGCGTTCGCTGGGTTTTTCTTCGTCATTCAGATGTACAACTTAAACTCCTTGCCAACCCAGAAGAAGCAATCTAATCAAGGCAGAGGTTATCTTCGTACCTCCATGCCTCAAAGGGGTGTAGCCAGGAAGGGGAGGGCTACCAAGAGGTCTGGATTTGACAGCTAATGTAACATTAAGTAATGCATGCGTCATTGATGTCATTTACTGTAACTTTTTGATATATGTGAGCTGAATTTGTCATCTTACTGGTCTAAAATAAATATCTGAAGATTCATAGACTTTGATCTTGTCCTTTCAGTTGGATAGCTGCTCTGCAAACAATCACTCAGTGGCAGCTTCTCCAGTTGCTAAGCTTATAAATGAATCTGTTCTTGGCATTTAATGTGCTTATAAACTAAGGCACCTTAATTGGCACAGACTGAGACCATAATTAACTGGAGGACATTCTCCCAAAGCCCTGTTCATACAAACCAGCTGACTGCCAATTTGGGAGGCAGTCGGATATATTTCTAATCTTTCCAACTTTCTTGCTGAGTAAAGACAATAATAGTAAAAGGAAGCTGAAGTTTGTTATTATGGCTGCATGCAATAGTCCTTATATACTCATGTAGTCTGTTATTTCTGCTGCTGTTCTGTCTGGTAGCAGTCTTTGGGTTTCAGTAGGGATGCATCCATAGACTGGCACACTCGATTTAGCCCATATCTGACAATTCCAGCTTTTTTTT